ACCACCACCATCACCATCACCACCACCATCACCACCACCACCACCATCACCGCCACCACCATCACCACAACACTTCCATTCCTCTAGACTCATTCACAGTGGTCCTTTCAAAGCAGATAGAAGGAGATTGAGAGATGAATTGATAGAGATTCACTATAGGAAAACATTGCTGGATGAAGGCAAGAGAAAAGCATGAGAAATAGAAAAGTGATATTTTTCATAAGGAAAATTTGAGACTTAGGGGTTAGGTGACTATATGGATATGTGTTTAAAATGTACAGAAATCAATATTTATATGAATACAATTTTAGCTATCCCTAAAATAAATTTGAAAAATGTAAAAAAATTACCATGATAAATGCAGATTATAAAAATGTCATTGTTAAAATAATCAAAATGTTACAGTATTTCTAGGTCCTAGAGGAGTGCTCAGAACATAAACATATGCCTGAAATTTTTGTTGAATGAAGAAGCATAAATTCCTGTATTACAATTTCCTTAAGATTCCATGTAAGTTTAAAGATATAAATAGCAATATAGCCTTTAAAAGATTTTAGTGTGTACTGAGTGAAGGAAAACAGAGCAGATCATCAGTTTTATACTCGGCAAATCATAGACTTTGTTTCATTCAATGATTGCAGTCCCCTTCATCTAAGTCTTCCCTGTGATTGTTTCCATTCTAATTCCTTCCCAACCCTCTGAACTTTGTCCTTAGGTAAGTGTTGCCCTTTTGATCTTGAATGCTTGACTATTCCATGGTGAGCAGACCTTACTAGTATTGTTGTTCACCTTATATACCTATCTACCGCTGAAAATTGAGCCACTAGGGTGAGTTCAGTTCCAGACCTGAAGGGTGACCCAAGGCCACAGTGTCAGGGTCCTCTAGTCTATCTCTGACTTTTTATAATTTTGAGTTTTATTCCACATTTTATCCCACTCTATCCAGAGCCTTCTAATTCGATCCCTTTCAGGTAGTTGGTAGTGGTAGCCAGGAAGCATCTAGTTCTTCTGATCCCAAGGTTGTGGAGACTGATTACACATGTTCCATTACTCCACAAAACGAATTGATTCCGGTGTCTTCAGTTTTCATCACTTTTCTTTCCTCTGCACAAGGCGAGATCAATAGTTGCACCTTAGGTGACTGCTCATGAGCTTTTTAGATTCCAGTTGCTTCTCATAAAAGTAGGAGGTAGAACATTGTCTTTGTGGACTGTGTTATGCCAGTGGACCATGAGTCTATGGTCTAGAATCCACAGGCCCCACAAGGTGTTGGGTACTGGCTGAAAAGTTTTTATAATTTTGTCCCTTCAAGGAGCCTGTTAAGAACTCAATGTTACACATTTAGGAGAGATTTTGAGTTTTATGTATTAAATAAAAGTTGTATGGTGTTGAGTCGGCTTCAAGAAATAGTATGTATTTGTATCACGCACTTTGGACATGTCATCAGAAGGGACTAGTCTCTGGAGAAGGACATAATGCTTGAAGAGGAAGACTCCCAATGAGATAGATTGATACAGTGGCTGCAACAATAGACTCAAACATAAGAAGGTTGTGAGGGTGGTGCAGGTCTAGGCAGCATTTCATTCTGCTGTACACAGGGTCGCTGTGAGTCGTACCTAACCACGACAACTAAGGATGAAGACATTTTAATTGTTGAAATATCAAGTATAATATTATGTGAGGGCAATATTCATTATGTTGTTGTTACGTGCCATTGAGGCGATACCGACTCATACCGACCCAATGTACAACAGAACAGAGCTACCCAGTCCTGGGCCAACCTCACAATTGTTGCCACACGTGAGCCCATCGATGCTGCCACTTTGCCAATCCATCTTGCTGAGAGTCTTCCTCTTTTTCTCTGAACCTCCACCTTACCAAACATGATATCCTT